AGACCCCTCTGTGTGCACACGCACCCACTCTCCCTGCTGACATGTACAGACATAAAATGAGATTTCAGACACTTAAAAAAAGACAAGACCACATAAATTTTGAATTTTTCTTCTGCACAAAGTTCAGCCTGGTTTGACATTGTGCTTCTGGGCTAAGAAGTGCTGAATTGCTAATATCAATTATTTTAGGACTGGTAAAATACAACAGTAGATAAAATACCTGTTTTAACACTGTAACTTCACAATTCCCTTATGTAATTGGTATTTTTGTTACCACATTATGCAATCCTTCACAAGATGCACGAGCCAGTTTTAGCACAGATGTATTTTCTCCTTTACCTCACCAGAAAATCACTGATACTTTCTTCTCTTTTTCTGAAACCCATTATACAAACAATTTACACTATGCACCTCCTCTAAGTAAGACATTTTTTAATTCCATACTCATTTCTTGTAGATCATATCCTCATTCTGATTTGTATTCATGCTGAACTACAACCCACTGTTTTCAAACTCTCAGAATAGTTTGCAGAGAAAGACAACTCAAATATATGTTAAACAAATTAAGGAGCAATCAGCTTCATTGAAAATCCAAAAAAGCTCACCACTGAAGTGAAGCTGTGAGCAAGTGCAAAGAGAGTGAATGATGTTGATGACAAGCCCATGAGTGGAAGCTCTGAGGGAAAGGGGCCCTGTGGCCACCAGTAGAGTCACCACGTGGAAAAGGTAGGGGAGATGTGCTGCCACGTCCAGGGAGTTGTTGAAGGAGAGCATGAGCATGTACCGAGCCAGAATGGCAATGTCATCCCACATCAGGTGCTGCTCCAGCGTGGGAGTAGGGGACAGACAGGTCTTGTCAATGATTTTACACATCCTCCCAATCACCTGAAAAGAGAGCAACCATTTTGTTTTACTCAAACAGGGAGCACAGCTCAAAATTTCAGTAAAAAACATCAACACAACACTGAATTACTCCATTGCTTGGAACCTATTTTATCATGAGTTTTGCACTGTTGCCTGTCCTGAGTTACCAGAAACCATCTCAGTGTCACATTAGTAAATAAGTTGAAATTATTCTACAAAAAGAAACGAAGGCAAAGAGGGAACTCACTTTGCTTGACACCAGTTTGACATTGCCAGAAGCCAGTGCTACAGCTGTGTCTGCCATCACTTCAGCTTTGATGGAGCCCAAGCCCCCTGTGGCACTGGTTTTGATGAAACTGTCCAACACTACATCCAGGAGATCTGTTATCTGAACGAGAAAAAGAATCCTTTCTTACCTGTCAGATTAACTTTACTTTTCCACAGTGAACCACCCTGTAAACAGCAATCATTCACTTTTTAGCTGAACATGCACAACTATCACAAACTGAAGCATACATTTTAGTGACTCTTTTGGCAAAAAGCCCCATGTAAATTTTAGAAGCATAAAGCTGAATTACATTAGGTTTTACTATCAGTGATTCAGAACTAGAAACTATAATTTAGCACTATTTTTATTTTATTTTCCACTTTAAAGTATAATTCTTTATAAAATGCTGACCCCAGTAAGAAGAAACCTGATTTAAAGTGCAGGAAAACGTCTGTTTGTTTACAAATGATGCAGAACTCATACCTGTCCCAGACTGCCCCATATCTTGGCCTGAATGGAAGGGTACATCTGTTTCTCATTGATGGTCATGGTGATGAGCTTGTCCAGGATGGCAGTGACGCGCTGGCGCTTGGCGTCGTCGTTGTGCTTGCAGAAGCGCACCAGGTTGGACAGCCAGGGCGTCATGTACTCCAGGCACAGGTGCTTCAGCTCAATGCCTGCAACAACAGCACTCATCACACACAGCCAGAACTGGCCTCTGCAGAAATAACTCTTCCTCAGCACTTTTCCTTTCAGTTTTAGTGCCTAAAATAATTACTGTCCAAGTTGAGCAAAGAGCACCGGGAGAAGAGAGAAGCTTCAAAAAGGCATGGCAAAAGGACAGAGCAACAGAGCCAGTGAGGAAGCTCAGATGACTAAGTTAGATCTAAAATATTTTTGGAGATTAGAATCTTTTCAAGTTCATGGTTAGGACCAACTAGCACTGGAGTTACTTACTGGATTTGCTAAATCCTGAAATACACTCCTCCAAGAACTCCAAAGTGAGGTGTGGCTCATTTGCTGCAAGAGTCTTACTGATAGATACAATAAATAGGGTGTTGTTGGCAGGGATACACAGACCTGAAGTTTCCAGTAACTGGCCCTCAATCTTTAAATTAAAGGTACAGGTTAAGGCACAGAGAAGATTATAGGCAGCAGACCTGTAACAAAGCAAACAATGTGATTTGTAAGAGCCTTCTTGTACTGTTGAACATATACATGTTATGCATCACAGTATTGACATTTCAAAAATCCATTCAATGTTGTTGTAGTAGAAATTACATCTAAATTCTGAACTTTTTCCCTGGACTGGTTACAATTTGGAGGAAAAAAAGAATTTCCTTGGAGAAATAGAAGAAATTATTCCTCCATTTGCGCTGAACCATTTCTGATAAGGTTACAGAGTATGTGTGAAGGGCTGTGTACTGGACTTCTCAGAACAGCCTGGAGTTCCAGGAAATGCTAAATCCTTGCAGGTGTACCTGAGCTGCTGGGAGAGAGCCTGCCCAGAGCCCAGAGGTGCCTCTGGTCAGCACCCAGCCTGGGGGAGCCTGTTCTGACACAAATCACAGGCTGCCCTAAGGGGTACAGCTCCCATGTTCTTAAACAAGAAGCTCAACACCATGGAAATTATATGTACCCAATAAACAAAGAGTGCAAAGCAGAACAACTTCTCCTTATAAAGAGAAATTAAGGTTCTTTGATGCTTCACTTCCTCTGACAGTGTGTGCCCTTCTTCACTCACAGAAACTCAGTATTTATTAAAAATTGCATTTTATGGAGCTGTGGTGAAAGAAAAATGGTTCTGCTCGAGAGAGGATGTGTAACAGGGAAGCAGGCCAGGGAAGGCTCCCTGTGAGTGAGCAGAGCTCTGTACCGCAGGCTGGGGTCGGAGCTGCCCAGGTTGAGCAGGGCGATGTTGAGCAGCGTCCCGGGCACGTCCTTGGGGCGGATCTTGGTGTGCTGGGGGATGGAGTCGGGCTGGGACAGCTCCCACCGCGTGCGGATGTGGATGATGGACCTGACGATGGCTTCACACTCCTGGTGCATGAAGGTGAGGGGGGTGCCCTGGTTGGCAATGGTCAGGGTGAACTGGTTCTCATCCACCAGGCAGATCTCCTCGATCTCAGAGGCGTAGTAGATGTCATTGAGGAACACGGTCTGGCCCAGCACCCGCGTGCGCTCTGCCGACGTCACCTGCACCGCTGTTGAGCCAACCTTGGGGACAGAGAACTGCTTCAGCACCTCTTGGTAATCACACAGAGAGAGAAAAGCCTCACACTTTTACTTTTAGGAAAGATAAATGCATGAAACTTTGTACTTCCTAATGGGGCATACTAGAAAGTTGTGATTTTGCCTCGAGACAAGGGAGGAGAACTAAGAGACAGTAAAATCATAACCCAACCCCTATACAAATATAACAGATCACTAGCATCAGCAGTAAAAGTACTTACTTTAATAGAAACTTTGGTGTCTTTATGAGCCAGTTTGAGAGCATTGTGAAACACTTTCAAGTCCTCCTCCAAAGCCAAGGTAGCTGCTGGGAGTTTCTGCTGATCGTGTTCGATGTGCTCTGCCAGTTTCCCTGGAGAGTCTATGAAAACAAGCCTTTTGCTCCCTTTCAAACCTGTCAAGAGCCTTTCATGGTATTTGGTGTATTCTCTGACCCAAGAGTTACAGTTATAAATAAAAACTGCTGCGACATTTTCATAAGCAAAGCCTGGAAAAACTACAAACCATTTAGAAAGAAAGTCTGTTTTAAAGCGATTACTGGGGCCAGCATGTGTGAGGTCCACCACGATTTCATATGGCTTTGCATAGTATGGCTTCAAGGTCAGCAGTACGTGGTAGATCAGCAAATCCCCGTTGATCTGACCAGTCTTGAACCTGTAAGACAGGACAGACATGGCTGGGTCATGTTTGAGGCCCACAGCACAAAGCCCTGAGTGCCCAGGCACAGCAGGAGCACCCCCAAATCCCGCCCATGAGCCAGACTGACCCTTGGCACAGCCCTGCCTTGGGACACCACACTGGCCTTGGTGTGGTGGGCACTGCCTCACACTCCAGCCACGTTTAGTGCCAGGATGAGGGAGCTCGGATAACTCAGCTTCATCCTGAAGTGCCCCACAACCTCAAGTGCCTATAACTTCTTAACAACCTTAGAAATTCAAATTATATATATATTTGTATGTGGAAAAAGATATTTATCTCAGGAGTCTTAAGAATAATCAAACATCCACACCCCAACTTTTTCAGAGTCCAGAGCCACTCCAATTCCTCTATCCTGCAGCACTCCTATGCTTGGAGGTGTTTCTAAGAATGGTCAGTCCTCTGAGGAGTACAGAGGCTACAAAAATACCTCTTTTCAAAAACATTCACATAACTGAGAATATTTTTCCTCTTTTAAAGATTCTCTGAATTTTGGGACTGGGTTTCACACAGCAGACTGAATTCTAGTAGGAAGAACTAATTAAAAATAAATTCATCAGCAGCTTGTGAAAATTTAAGGTTATTTAAAATACTTGTCACTGTTCTGAGCTGTCACTAACTCAACTCTTCCAAGGCAAACAGGCTACAGAAGAGCTGATAAATGCTCTAAGCACAGGTGTAGCTTTAAGGTTTTTGGGACACTTCTCTCAGTAGCACTTGAGTGTAGGACAACCCAGGAGACAAAACACAGAACATTCATCTGCACAAGAGATTTGTTCCCCCGTTACCTCCTGTGGTTCTGAGAGCTAAGCTGGGCAAGTTGGTGTTTTTCCCCCAGTGTGTCATGGTATAGCTGTTACCCAAAGGAAGTGTGTCATCGCTGTGGTTTTAGTTCCCCACTTAAAGCCACATGTCACTGCAGTTAGGTTTGCCAAAAAAACACCAGCACTGCCCAAATCTCCCTGCTGTGCACTGATGGTTGTTTGCACCCTAGGGTCAAATATATGCAAAGAAATCTTATCATCTAAGGACTAAATATCTGAAACACCCATCTTCTGTTGACTACATCTTGGCAAGGTAAGTACACATTCTCCTTCTCCTATTTTAAGCTGTACTTCAAAGTTTTGTAGAAAATTGTATGCAAAAGTATTACAGAAGTTTCACTAATTAAAAAATAGTAACAAACTGTAGAAATAGTATCTCTAACTGAATCAGGGAAGCTGATAAACAGTGTTTTTCATCATATTAAAGGTTATTCACAGTCAGACAGGAAGGAATCAACAGTGACAGTCACTACTTGGCTCTGTTGTCCCTGCCCTGCAGATCTTGCTGGGTACTGAGACCCTGCCACTACTCCGACACAAAGGGCTGAACTAAAAAGAAAACCATCTCTTTAAAGATCAGTCCCTTTGCTCTCATGGTTTCAAGAGCAGCCCTTCACACCACGAGCCCATTGATTTTTAAGGAAAGCACATCTGGTCTGGGAGCCCACAATGAACACTGGGCTCAGTGTGCTGGGGCAGAGCTGGGAGCTGTACCCTGGGCAGGGACAGGACAGGAACGCTGCAGTGAAGCTCTGCTGGCTCTGCCTGTTCTGCTCAAAATTGCTGAAATGTTAAAAAAAACCCCAAGCTTTGCTGGGTTTGCTCTTCTTTTCGTTTTCCAAGTATGCTACAAGGAATCATCCAGGTGACTTCTACCATATATAAACAAAAATACTACCTGAGCAGTAGCTGATGACTAAGATGATTTCTAGTTCAACCTGAACAAGCAGGATTAAGCTCAGGAAGGAGAATAATTTTATGTTATGGGTGAACTGAGCAACATTAAAGACAAAGATCTTTTGTTGCTCCTTGCTGTGTAAGGAGAGATCCTCTTACACCAGGCAGGTGTATCCCTGCCTTCCCTTCACCTGGTCACACACCAGGAACATCACTTCTCTCATTTCTCATATTTACACACACATGAACCCACTTTACAGGCAACAAACAAAAAATTAACAGTGTTACTTTTGGTCACTCTCTGTAGCATTTTGATTTGCACCAAGCTGAGTGTATAGTACTCAAAGGAAACATTTCCATCAGTTACCAGAGACAGAATTCAGTGGTGGGATACAGCCCTGCCCTGGGCAGGTCCGGAGCAGCCTGGCCCAAGCAGCAGCACTGCTCATTTGTCATTGTTAATTGGAGGTTATTGTCTTTGTATCAGACCAACCCCACTCTCACATTCCTACCCTCCAGAAAAATTAAACGGGTATGTGGTACTTGAATGCCACACAAATGTGAAACAGAACAAACATATGAATGGTTACTCTCATTTGCATAATGACTGGTGGTGTTTTAAAGAAAATGTCACAATCGGGAATGTTTGGGAGAAAATTACCAGAAGTACATTTATGATAAAGAGGTTTTTGTACAAAAAAGCAGAAAAACAAGAGAACAGAGATTTTCCTGGGCATTTCAAAGTACTCCAGACAGCTGTGCTAGGAACCACACATAATTTCCATGAAGTTATTGCTGTCACTTACAGAACGTTTTGGGTTCAAGTTTTTCCCTTGCCCGTCTGTTCCCTGCAGGGTTCCCCTGCCTGCCCCAGGGGAATTCAGGGAGGTGAGAAGCAGCCAGTGATCTGTAACCTCCACAGGGTCTTCATGTAAAAGCAGAAGTGGTGACCATGTGTAACATGGGCAGCTTCAGAGAGAAGGAACTCCCAGAGTCTGCCCTGACATCACGAAGCCCTCAGTAGGAAACACTTTTCTTTTTCTCTTTGCTCCATGTTCTTTTCTGATCTTTGTATGTTTTCCTGAAACCTCAAACTGTCAGAAGCTTGAGCCAACCTATTCTTTCACAATCCAGGCACTTGAACTCGTCCTCCTACATCCCCCCCAAAATGAGGCCATGTATTTTTCATCAAGAACCTACTATTCCCTGAGAAATCCAATCCAATCCTCTGAGAACCAGCATCTGCTAAACTAGCACCATAATTTGTATTTTTGCAGGGGTCTCAACAGGAAGATGAAGACAAAGACATCCAGTAACTCACACCTGACCTTCCCTGTCATGATTATCTTCTCCCTGTGGCTGCAAACGAGTGCAAATCACACAGGTTACCCACACCTCAGAGAAGAAACCTGGAGTCCCATCAGCCAAAACCTCAGTGGGAGCCAGAACAGGACAGAACCAAGCACAAAGTCTCCTCCTCTGAGCCTCAATTTCACCAGCCAAATGACTACTTTTGAAATGCAAAGTACCCTGCCATCCTTCTCCTCCACCATGACTCAAAATGCAACCTCCCCTGCCCCAAGAGTAGTTTCCCCCACAGGAGGACTGGGGAAAGGCAGCAAACCCAAGAGCCCAATGACTAAAGAAACCTGTGAAGACAATAAGTCTCTCATACTAATTTGCTTCATTACCATTGCAGTTCTTGTGCTCATCTGCACCTCCCTGTTTCTATCCACAGTCATAGTAGCCAACAAAATCTCCTATCTCAAAAGAGCCCAGCAGGGCAAACGCAGGCCCAGGAGCAATGGAGACCTCCTGGCCACCAACAGCTTATGGCCCACGGCATCAGGAACGTGGCAGAGGATGCCCAAGGAGACAAGTGGAACCGAGCTGATAATGCAGGAGCTGTTATCAGGGAGGGATGCTGTGAACCAAAAGAAAACTGAAGATGAAACTACTGAGAAACTCACCAAAGCAGCAGATAATGAACAAGAAAGCAAAGAACCATCCCAGTCACACAAACCCATTTTAACCAATTTTGTAGTTGAGATTTAATTCATACTCAAGTAAAAATTCATTTTTTGCCTTTGTTACACCATTAATGTAAGGTAAAAACTTGGATTTCAAGCAAAAACAAGAATTTTCCCCCATGAAAGCTAAATCCAGATTTTAGAGTTCTTCCATTTATGCCAGAGGGAATGCTGCAGCCACGTGTGGATCCAGAAGGAAGTAAGACTGTGTTAAATGGCTTTCTGTATGGAGTGTCAAGACTGGTTCTACGGCTTTGAGCAGAAATCAGGGTGACAGGAGCTGAACAGGATAAAAGGACAGAACCTGCCCATGCACAAAGACCACAGAGGGGAACAAGGAACAGACTGTCTGATCCACACGCTGAACACCAAGATGCTGCACAGGCATAATCAAGTCACTTTTTAAAGAAAACCATACATTAGTCACAACTCTGATTCAACCATTAATCCAGGATCTAGTCCCTCTCAAAATGCCCTTTTGGATTTTTCATCAAGAACTTCTTAAACCAGCTTAATTGCATTTGAAGGAGACTGATTTGAACCATATTTACAGTGTTTCAACATTATCTATGAATAGATGAAGTTTGTAGTATTTGCTGGAATATGAGAACTTGTTCAATTTGTTATCTTCAATAAACTTGCAATATCAGGTTTTAAATTACATACATGATACTATTTCTTTAAGTCAGAATGTTAGAAAAAAACATGACCAGGCATTTTGGAATGTTTTATTCCTGTAACATTGGCTGAGCTCAGTAAAGGTCTCTGATGATTCACTGTGATTTCCTGCATCATGGAAACACTCCACTTTCTCCTGACACCAAAACGAACATGCCAGGAATTCCTTCAAACCACAACTTTTAGTTTCTTTATTCTCAGAGAGCTGACTGTCCCATAATTCCAGGGAGGTGCCTGTGGCTGCTCTCCCTGCAGCAGAGCTTTGCTCTTTTAAGGAAACGTGAGAAGCTTTCCCCAGGCTGCTCCTTGGGCTGAAGGAGCTCTGTTGCACTGTGGTTACAAGTGCTGAGACTGCACAGTGCCAAAGCTCCAAACATCCTGTGCAGCTGTAACCAACAGCTGTGACACGTAAGATGGTGGTACGAGTTTGAGAGGACCAGGATGACTGAATGCCCCACCCCAATTCCACTAGGTCACCCATTAACTTGGCTGGCAGGGCAGATACAGCAGCAGAGGCAGGACCATAGCGCTGTGGCAGCCAGGAGAGAGACAGAGCTCAAAAAATGCAACTGCCAGGCTCAAAGGTGGGTTGTGTAGTGAGGAAAAGAAAGTTGGAAAGAGTTTGCATGCTTAGCCTGGAACTGGGAACCAGTTACGGAGATTGAAGAGAACGGGGAGGAGACAAAGAAATCAGACAAGAAACACCAAGTTAGTGTGAGTGTGGGATCAGGATGTGCATTTGCTGCAGAAGCAGGCAGTGTCAGAGAGAAGCAGTGCAGTCAGGGAGGCACAACAGGAAGGGCTGCAGAGGAATCTGGCAGTAGCTACTGACAGGACACAATTGCAAAATGCCACGAGGACATATTTGGTGTGGGTTTCTTTCCGCCAGGCAGCGTTTCCAGGCAAAAATGCTCACGGGGAACAAAGAGTGCACCTTGAGTTACACTCTATGGTCTGAGCAGGCACACTCAGGGGGAAGCAGCTGCTCAGAGCACAGCCCTCCACCAGTGGTGGCAGGAGGTCCCAGCGCTGTCCACACAGAAAAACAACCAAGCGAGTAGGGACAGGCTGAGGGTGAAATCAGGTTTTGCCCTCTGCCTCTCGATGCAGCCACACAAGAGAGGATGTGTAAGCAGCCACATCCCATGACCACACAGCTTTCCATGACTCACCAAGGAACCCAGGGTGGCTTCCCACTAATAATCCTGAGAGCACAGCAAACCCACCATTGAATTACATCAGCAACGCACATCCAAACTTGCAGTTTTTGATTCACACAGAAGAAACTATAACTATTTTCTACAAAGACAGGCAGACAGGTATTTGAGAATTTCCACACAAGCACACAGAGGTGCCTGCCGTGGCAAGAACCACAGACCCATTTTTCCAGAAGCCCAGCACGGCTGGCAGGGCAGGAGTTTGCCCGTAGAACACAGGATCTCCCTGGCAAGAGCCCCGGGCCGCCCAGCACAGACACTTCCTGCCGGCGGTGGCAATTTCCTCCCTCTCTGCACAAACTTCTGCTGAAAAGAGCCATTTTACACTGTTTGACTCTGAGCACAGACAGCCCTCCTGAGCCTCCAAACAACAAAGGCAGACGGTGCTTGCTTCAGAGAAGATAAATGTACAGGTAAGGATCAACTTCAAGTATTGAGTCTATTTTGAAAAGAGGGGAGCTGGATAAAATCTGGATTGAATCATTTTAACCCGTTACAAACCTGACAGTTTAGATCACGATGTTCTCAAGTCATTAACTTACTGCTCGTGTGTGTTTACACTGCTGCATTTAAAATTTAATTTTGCATATTTGTAAACCCATAAAGACTCATGCATATTAATTTCCCAGAAATAGCTTCACAGGACTAGCACTATAGTAACTAATGAATTAGCTCAAATTGCATGAAAGTGACTTCAGAAGGAAAAGAGCTGTGTAGGGGATGAATTTTGTATCATTTATTTCACATGGAGACATTTAGAGCTGAACTCTAATCAGTACAGGAAAAAAAGTCTGTTTCATGCCAACAACTCAACATTTGCACAACCTGCATGCAGGAATTTATTTATAAAATACTTTACCATTAGAATGCTGTGTCATTATAGCATCAGTACTTGGAAAACTTTTAAATATTTTCCTATGCTGAACAAATATGATAACAGGAATAAAAGTTAAAGAAAATTGTAAAGAGCCTTTTACTTCTGTCGCAGCTTATATCACAACAAGCCATTTCTTCACTTCTGACAACCCTGTCTGTCAATGCTGCAGAGTTTGTTCCAGGTCCATAGCCAGTTACATGATTGATAAATGCTATTTTGAAACGCTGTGAGGACTGCTCTGCCAATGCCTTTTTCTGATAAGGTGGAAAAAGATGATATTAAGCCATCACCTTCAAACAGGCCACTTTATTAATATGATCAATAATGCTGAAAATCTGCTGTTATTTGTAAAGTCAGTGCCAAACCCACTGATCATGCAGATGGGAACAGGCTTGAAACATGAAATATGGTAGAGACCATTATTTTCACTATGATGGTATTAACACAGAACTGTCTGGTGGCACTGAAGTGCAGAAATACAGTTTGTGAGTTACCATGTTGTACTTCTTCCCTGCAATAGGAGAGGACCCTTGTAAAGAGGCTGGAGGGAAATGGCCAGCAACCAGGTCGTGCTGGTTCTCTTCTGTGGGGAAATCTGGAGCTCCCTTTCTGCAGCAGCACCTCAACACGCTGCCACGACTGAAAGCCACACGTGCAGCACTGCCGTGAGCCCACGCACAGACAAACGCCCTCTCTACCAACTGCAAGCAACTGGGCCCAGTTTCTACCAGTCTGCCACATCCCTGGCTGTAACAGAATCCCAGGCCTTGCCAGGGGAGGAGGAAGCTGGGGACGGCAGCTGGGTAGCTGCACTGCTAATTGGCCTCGTTTTGATTGGGATGTTGCTGGCAGTTCTCATCATTCTCCTGTGGAAATGCTGCATGAGGCCTGTTCTGGCTGAGTCCCACTGGGCAGGCCGGTCCCCCTTCGTGGATGGTGACACGCCAGATCTCTTCATAGACTCTGACCATGGCACCAAGCGTTCTTCAGTCTTATTTATGTTGCCTTGGAGACTGAAACAAGGCACAAACTTGCAGGAGGACTCAACTGCCTCAGAGAACTCACCCCACCTCAGTACCAGTACTGAGAACGGGCAGCCGCCTCCGCCGGCCGCGGGCTGCTCCGGAGCCGGCACGGCCCCTGCCCCAGCTCCTGCCTCGGAGCCAGCCAGCACTGCAGCTGACTCCTGTCCTCCCCCAGACACTCCAGCTGTGTGCCCTGACCTGCCACCACCCCCGGACTGGCTCTGGGAAGCCACCGAGGAGCCCAGCTCCGATCCCAGCAAGCCCTCGGCACTGCACTTGGAAGCAGAGGAACCACAGCCCTCAGCACCTGAGCTACTGATCCAGGAGATCCATGAAACACTGCCCCAGCCAGAACACCCTTTGTAGACTGCCAGGTTAACTTCCCCAGTACCTTTTTCTTTTAATACATTTTTCTTATTTTCAAAAAAGTGGAAAAAGGAGAAGTTGATGCAGGCAAGAACAGCGAGGCCCCAGCACTTCCTTGACATTTCCCTGGTGTTTCCCAACTTCAGCTTTCACAAGAGAGAACAACCTGCTTCTGCCTGAAGCAAATCTCTGAGTACAATCTGAGCTGTGCCCAGTCATCACCCATCAGCAGAGAGTGCAGGAGGCAGAGCACACAGCTGTGTGTGCCGGTGACACGCGGGGAGCTCAGACACAGCCCAGCTTCAGAGGGACCCAGCTTCGCTCCCCTGGGCGGGGCAAGTGAATGCAACCCATTCCAGGCCACTTTAATAAAGCTTTCTGAGTCAAAGATGTTTTGGTCACTTAAAGCCCACCTGAATATTTGCTTAGATACAGAATGCACTCAGTTACCAACACAAACTCATTTAATGGTTCATGGGTGTAAGATTCCTTCGAGTTCCCAGTGTCCAAGTGCTTTCCATGCTCCTCTCCGGGCCCTGAGTACCAGCACAGCTCATCTCCCCCACACCAGCCTTGGCTCGGCAGTAGCAGGCTGGTACCAGAAGTAAATAATTTTATTTTTTACCAGAATTGAATATTTATATTTACAGAAAGAAGCTGATAGTCACTGAAGCTAGCCTTCCATGAGAGCTCTGCAAAATGGCAGAGTTTGCAGTTCACATGAGGAGGGAATAGATTTCTGGATGGACCACAGAAAAAAGACTTGCACACAATAAACCAGAATTTTCAAACTATCACTAATAAGGAGTAGTACACTATCTAAATGCAACTCCAGGCTCCTGTGCATACAATGGCCATAGGAAAATATATTTTCAATTTCCTTTCCTGTTTACATAAGCTGTATGATTTGGTATGCCTAAAGAATAGCATTACAATTATATGAAGATTTTTGTATAATTCAAGTGATACCCTGTTAAAATTAACAGTTCTATAAACCAAACATTATAAATACTCTCACTCTCATATTGCTTTGAGAAAATCAGATGGTGATTTCCTGTACAAATCCATAAAATCCTACAAGCTGAGCTGTATTATACCTGACAACACAGTGACAGCCTGATCCGAGGAGCAGAAAACAGAGTATTTTAAATTATGAAAACATATTCTGGCAGTGTAGCTTAAAAAAGCTTAAGCTAGAAAGCCTAAATTCACATGAACCTCTATTGCAGGAGGAGAGGTTAACAGGAGGCAAAAAGAAGCCAAGCTCACCTGCCTTTTCAAACAGCCACCAAGTGGAACAGCAGCCGGAGCTGGCAGAGCGGGCGTGCGGGGGAGCGAGCAGGCAGCACAAGGGGAGGGAGCAGGAGCCCCCAGGGCTGGCAGCGGGCACTCCCTGCTCCTGCTCCTGCTCTGCCCAGCCCTGGCAGGCCCTGGCAGGGCTCGAGGCCGGCTCTGCAGTGCCCAGAGGATCAGGTGGTTGCGGAGCCGGGCGCAGCCGTA